AAACAACTAAAGAGCTCATAACAAATACTGAAAGTTTGAAATAACTGGATGAAAAGTATTTAAGTGTGAGGCATCTTTGTAATTCATTACAAACTAAACGAATCCATTCATTTCTTATCTTTGATAGCATCTATCATATGCAAATTTAAATGGGTACTACTGTTGAAGTTCAATCATTGGCATCTTGAAGGAATCTAATTAATTTAGCATTTCATTAGATTTACCAGTGTTTTATAATGATACCACTCTGGTTATGTAATAATTTTAAATTCACCGGTACTTCGGACTGCTATATAGCAATTAAAACGATAACAGCAATTAAAACGATGATATTAGGTGACAAATATTTTCAAAATGAATTTTTCATTTCCACGTCATTCATTTATTTGTATGTAAAAGTATTTTCAGTACGATATATTGGCTATATAAAATTCACTCTAAAAAAACATCAATTTGGATCGTTTCATTGCACCAAAAGGTTAATAATAAATGACAAGGTGAATTGTTAGTTTAATTTAAACCGTTGCATATCGCATAAGAAAGAATATCATCAATCTATTCTAGCTCATATGGATTTCAAATCATTCAATTTCATCATTTTTTTTCTTTTTTTTGTCTTTATTAATTACAACTTTTCGTTTCTGTTACACAAATTAATGTTTATAAGGAACAAATAAATATTATCAACCAATATGTATTGGTAAAATAAATAAGCAATAAAAAATTTACTATTGAAAGTAAAAATTTATTTCAATAACTTTTCTTCTTTACAAAATTAATTTTCATAGACTTTGAAAATATTTTTAAATCAATTTCCAAGTTCGAAAGATTAACTAACCAAATACACCTTGAATTAATTAATGTTAGAAAGAAGGAGAAACGAATAGAAGGAAAAAAAAGGAAAAACTTACCACCAACAATGTGAAAATGAATTGAAAAGAATGAAGATTAGAAGTGTGACGATTTGAGATGACATCCTGATGTTAATCATAGCGAGTAAACTAAGTAAGCGATATTCAAAGGGTAATATGGTATTTGTAAGAGTTGATCGAAGTAGAATAGATCTTTGGCAGCATTTACAATCATGATAACTGCATCTCTAAGTAATATTGGATGACGCCGCCTTCGTTTATTGCTTCTATCGTTTCATTATTTTGTCCTTCTATCCCTTTTATAATCAAGCTATAACCTTTTTCTTATCGTCCTCTAAAATCGATAACCCCTATGATATGAAGAGGACTTAAGCTCATGATCTCCTGAGCTCAAAATTGTAAATCATCATTTATTGTAAATCTTATTTATTGATCGTTTTTTGACATAACTCTTAGCTTCTACTAATAAATGACATTTTTTTTTTTTAAGATCACAATAAAAATACAGCTTCATTCTCAATATTCTTGATTTTTTTTTGTATCTTAATTTCCAAATTATCTTAATTTCCCTACCTTAATTTTCTGTCTCAATTTCTCAAATTTTTAAGTAAAAAAAAGAAAATCTGCCTTACTTTTAGAAGACTTTCATTCCCTATAGAATGGTAACAGAGGTGCTCATCTCGTTCCCATACTAAATGAAAACATTCTGATATCATAGAGATCACTCATTCAGGATTTATATTCAATACTGATAGCTCTATATATCACTTATCCATCCAGACATCCATACCTCTACATATCTTACTCCAGAAATGTTAAACATCTTACTTGAAATCTTCATTTCGTCTTTTTCGATTGTCTTCTTGATTTCGTCAAATTCATATCCACTCATGCAAAATGTAGATCAGATTAATGCACAGAAAACTTGGATTCAAAGACTTTTATTATTCTGGAAAAAAATCTAACAAAACAATAGACAACCATTTTTGTAATGAAATCATTTTTTAATGCACTGCGATGATATATACATATATTCAAAATAAGGCCTAATCAAAAGAAAACGATAAACAAATTGATGGGAAAGCCTTCAACGGATTAACAACGGCCCCGTAAAAAAGAAAAACAAAAACAAGAACATTACATAAGAATGAGTTCAACCAGCTGTTTGATCCCTTGCTTCTTAAATATCCATGAAACAATCTCCTTTTGTCCTAACTCCTTTAAAAAATGAAAAAAATAAAAACAAAAAAATTTAAATGATTATAAGATGAAACAGAAACTGGATACATTGGTAAGGAATATATGATATAAAGAATGACATTCTAATTATCTAGATATAAAAGTTACTGAAAAGTACGTTACTGGAAAGAGAACAGATATATGGACTTAACAAAACAGCAAATCGAAATTTCAACACTTTCCTTTTTTTGGTGAGATCAGAAAAGTTGAAATACGCAAAAGTTGGTTTGTTATTTCGATGCGATAAAAGGACTTGCCTTTTCACGAAAATCGCACCAGTAGTTTTACCTAGCTATAACAATAATGGACTTAACGAGCAGAAAATACGTAACTTCACTTAATTAATTGTATCCTATAATCAATACCTATTTTTTGCAATAGATTAAATACAGAAGAAAAGAAAGGACAAATATAAGTAATAAAATACGATAATAATGCAAAGATAGTATTGAAAACAAACAAGAAAAAACAACTTCACATACTAGACAGACAAGGCCTTCGCTGAACAGTCATGTTTGCTAGATCCAGAAGTATGTATACCACCCAAACCATTATGCTTCTAAAAATAGAATTACGTTACTCTGAATATTATCTTTAACAATGACAAACCAACTAACAACGAAACTTCGAAGTTGTCCGCATGCGCTGGATAAAATTTTGAAACTTTCTGAAGTAGTAAATAAAAGTGCAATGATTTCACATACCAAAATCGTATCTTTGATCTTCCTTTTGACACGTAGCGCGGTATGTCGACAGTCAATGCTTGCACTCCAACATTCGCCTATCAGTTCACAGATTTCTTTCAGGCATGGCTGGAAATAGAAGTTTTTAAGTGGAACATCTAAAGCTAGGAATTCAGGAATGTTTAAATTAAGGGGATTTATATGGGTAAATTTTAAAACAACAAGATCGAGTTAGGATAGAGTGCTAGGGATGCATGATTCGAAAGAAATTACATCTCTAATCCAAGCATCCTCCAATAACGGCCTTTTGCCCTCTAAACAAACAAGTCTACGCATTTGTTCAAATGATGGATCCGGATCGACCATACCATCAAATGGTTGCATCGGAGGCCGCGCTTTCAATGACTGCAAATGATTTGTGCATATACACAATATTTAAATATTCATGTATCAAAAATCACTTTATTGTAAGCAAAAAATCCGAACGTAAAAGATTGAATCTTAAATTGACCATCGAATTCTCGGAAATACTTTGATGATCCACTACACTGCTTGAAACATTGGTAATATATCCTGATGCATCAGGATTGACAATAAACCCAGGCATAAGTTTCGCCGTGCCACTTCCACTACCACTGCTTCCAATACCACTGTCACTTTCCGAAGCTCTTGAAAGGCAGTTATCCTCCTAAAAAATCGCTTCATAAAAACGTTTTTCAGTTGATCGCATCAATATTATACCTAAGACACAAAAAATATTATTAAACATGTTACCAAAAGTTTCACATCAATATCGTCTCTGAACGACTTACTGAGGAAGATTCCTACTTGAGCTTTTCTTAGGTGCTGAACTAAATCTAAAAGCAAAGCAAAAACCCTGTTTCAATATGTGATAGAATTAAAATAAGCATAAGATCAGGACATCAGTTCTTTATTGATAATGGAACAGGATTTGATATTCATCGCCACTCGAAATGACCAAAATGAAACAGTATTTAAGAAATGAAATTTTTTTAAGCATATCATTTGAAATACAAATGCAATAGTCGATTTCATCTTAAACTGACCTGAATCCGTCGTAAAATTTCCCAAATAACCAGTGCAAATGAATAAATATCAGCCATTTTAAAATGATGAAAATTTTTAACATTTAAAGATTTGTCAAGCACTTCTGGCGCCATATATCGTTTGGTACCCACTTGTATATTTATGTCCGTTCTAGTTTTCACCATATCTTCACTTAAAATGTAATATTTTGCCAGATTTTTCCATGAAAATAATGATTATTTCCTAACCACAGGAATTTTCTCGATAAAGCAATCAAAATCGTACAGGTAACTTCTTTTAAAGAAAAGTACCTACGTTAATGCTAATCCAAAATCAGCTATGCAACAAACATAAGGTCTTTTAACGATGATATTTTTTGATTTCACATCACGATGTGCAATAGCCGGTTTCTGTGGTGTGCCTGTTCCATGTAAAGCACTATGCAAATGCTCCAAACCACAAACTGCACTAAAATTCAAAGCAATGGATAAGAGATTTTCAAATACCATTTTCCAGGAACCGAATTTTTGCAGCCAAATCTTTTAAGATTTTCATTTTCACAAATCCATCAATTTTATATTCTACTGCTTTCAGTTTTCACCCCTTTGTTCACAACGATAATGAGAAATTGCTTGCGAAAATAAGTCTTACCTATAAGCCAAATGTAGGGCTTCGCTTACAGAGAGAGTTTCTCCACGTTGCAAATATTCAAAAAGAGAACCGTAAGCATGAAAATCCGTAATCAGGAGCATTCGAGTGATTGAATCTTCGCTTCCAATATCAGCAGCAACAAATTCTACAAACAATAAAATCAATCAACCCTTAGAAAGTACAACCAACGTTATTCATTCATAGACATAGCAATTACTTGAAGGAACACTTACGTAATATGTTCTCATGATTTAACATCTGCGTTTGATAAATCTCTTTTTCATTTTTCCACGAGTCTTCTTCTGTGGTATAAAATGTCTGAAAAAAAATTTTAAAATTAACATAATTGGATAAATAATATTATCCACAGAACAGAAGAATTGAATTTGAATAAACAGAAGAATTGTGACTTTACCTTAACAGCAACAATACGATCACCACGATAACGTGCTTTCTTAACTTCGCCATAGCGTCCTTTACCTACTACAGATAAGAACTCAAGATCCTGGGCAACCGTGCGTTGATTTAAGCTTGCGAAACCTGAGCCTGAACCGCTACTGAAGTGATATTTCGTTAACTATATAAAAAAAAGACAGAGTTATGGATAATCGTAGCCAAATAAAAATGACGGTAAAATATCGGAATAAACGAAACGCGTATTATATTAATACCTGACATCATATAGCATGGGAGCTTTTTCGATTTCCCCCGTATCAATTATTTGAAGTGTTGACTTTTGGAGTGATGGTTTTAGTTTTTTAGCTGTAAAATCTGTCATTACAAGTATCTTAAGAAGCAAAGATTGAAACACATCTCTACGCCAACATACAAGTTAATCTGTGATAACAAATCATCTTTTTTATATTCCTGATGGGGAAAAAAAAAAACATCCAATAAGGAAGGGACTCAGGTCCGAATTTAATTCATATAGGTAAAACTTAATCGTTCATTATAGTTTGCAAGAAATTTCACCTATAAAATCCCGTCGCCAAAACAGAAGTAAGCCAATTCCAACGAATATTGAAAAAAGTACAGCATATACGATAATCGTAACTGTCATATAAGATGTGTAACTATCAACAATCATTCCTGAAAAATAAGTATTTACTTCTACTCCAGTGTTTTCTACTTTTTCCAGTCGTACGACGAAAAAGTCTTTCTACAAACTAACTAGTACCTTCAGGTGAAACATTTGCATAAGCTGGGACAGATAAATTACGATTACAGTAATTCCCTTCCTGACAGCATGCAATACTTTTTGGTCGAGCATGTGCAACTAAATGAGCTTTACACTGAAAAGTGATATTTGAAATTAATTATTGATGAATTATCAAATAATCGATAAGTAATGTAAATGAAGTTATGTGTGTTGCACTTTTCTTAATAATGGTTCTTCTGCCAATATTCCGATCCTCACAACGCCTTGAAATTAGAAACGAGATTTAGTGTTATAAACCTCATTTCTAATTCAAAACCATGTCATATATACTCTGAGGAAGTTTAGAAATGAATCTAAGCTCTTCAAAGTATATCAAATAATCAGAATAGCACATGCGAAGAATAAAGAAAACGAAATTCTTGTGTTCTAACTAACTGTAAAATAGGAACCGCCCGAGCCACGAGTTAATGGGGCACAACCGAATAAATGCATTGTTTCCATTTGCTGCAATGTCTTGTCGTAGATCTGAAAATCGAAGTGCCAAATAGCAAGATTTTAGTTTTACGAATAAATGTGCACATTTGTATAAAAGAAATTGGAAGTTACAGCTAATTTAATATGAAACAAACTTCTTCAGTGAAATGGAAGCAGGAAGCTTCTAGATGTTTGACGCATGTAAAATTCGTAAATCCACCACAGAATTCCGGAGCATAATTGCAGTAACAAACGCTCCGCTCATCTTCATATCTCGCCGGTGCCTGAAGTTTCATAGAATATATTGTATATATTTCGCAAATTTAAGTAAGCCTGCATTAGACAGCCATTCAGGACTTGGCACCAGTTTTTTAATGAAATAATTAGATGAAACAAATGAAACGAATTTGTTGTTCAGCGTCAATATTAAATGTGAAACCAGTTTCCTACTTTAACAAGAAATCAGTTCCTTTCCTACCACATGACAACTACAGAAGTAGAACTAGGAAGCAATAAAATACGACTATATGCTTGAAAAAAGGAAATAAGTCAGTCAAAGATATGCACAAAGTAAGTGTCTCTTGCACGTTGACACTGAAATAGTATACATTTTTTCTTTTTCGATCAGCTTCTGATTCAATCTTGCTTGAATTAAATTGATACGGTCGTCCTTGAGCATCGATTGGCACTGATAAGTCACCATCTGCATCGTACCGTTCAGCCGAATCGTGATCTTGCTTATAACCTTGAAAATGAAATCTGATTCACTCAATATGGATGTACTGCATATCATTACATTATTAATAAGATCGTATCACAACATACTCCCGTATGTGAGACTTAATGAGATCTTGATGATGATGATATCTTATATGAAAAGTTCCTTCAAATTTACAATAACATGTTCCTAGCGTTTATTTCTAAATTCAATAACTACCACTAATCATGACAACTCGGTTTAGTAAAACGAACCGTACTCCTGCAAGTTCCCATTCGCAGGCAGATGGAAAATTCCAAGCAGTAAAACAGCAATGAGTATTTCAATCATTCCGAACATCCATAATTTAACCAATTTCATCTGGAAATTTTCTTTTAGCATTTTAATTTCGAGATTTCATCATTTTAAAGAATTCCGCAAAACTGTTAAAACCTGCACAGGAAACACTTTCCAGTCGTGTGTAGTCTTCATCATAGCTGAGTATGCAAGGGAAAACTTTTGTATCCCACAATCATGTAACGGAATGCCATATAAGGACTGATAAACTGATATCTTGACATTTTAGAGTTATCAGCAGACTGCAGTTGATGCTGTTCACGCATAGAACTATCGATCCCATAGTATTTATTAAGTGAAGTAATGGAAGATGTGAGTTAAGCAAAACTTGTTTTCTTTTTTCAACAAAACTAAGCTCAGTGTTATTGCTAGACAAAAATGTTCGATGAAATGGGCTATCAATTAGAAGTATACGGTACTAGTAGAAAATGTTTGCACTAATATTCATATAGAAATTTTCCCTAGCAAATAAACAATCAAACAGATGAAAAGAGCGAATTTCAGGATCTCTTGTATAAAAAAAGAAAAAAAGAAAGTTAGAATAAAAAATGATAAATGAAATTCTGGCAACCAAGAAAGGGAGACGTCAGCACGGTGTGGGTCATACTCAGTGATGATGCCAAAGAAAAAAAAAAAAAAGCAAATAGAAAAGCAAAAGGTGGAGTATGCTGCCCGGATCGTAAGTGCATTTGTTCCGACACAGCGGCGCCGTTTACCCTTTCCAATTAGTTTTTCTATTAGAAATGAAGCGCGCGATTTAAATTTTTGTAAAAAAAAAGATGGAATTTTTATTGAACTGATTGGAATGATTTTAATTTCCAATTACTCTCTGATCTATAGACAAACAGAATCCGGTAAAATACTTTTCATCTCATTGTTCCATTACTGCCCATACAATTATTTCTCCACATAAATTTTCGGAACAGCTACCTACTTTAACATTAATTCAGCATGGTACCTGCAACGCTGATGACGATTTTTATTGGATGAAATTCTCTGTAGCCCAGTTTGATGGGATTTCTGCTAACTCCAACATAATTAGCCTGGAACAAAAAAAGGAAAAAAGAAAGAAAAAAAAAGGTCAACGCTTAAAACCTTGCAAACAACATCCACAAAATCAATGCAATGAACAATTCGGATCCAGTCATGAATACTGACAGCACGACAACACTGTACACCATTAACGTAGTGCATCGTACTCGCGAGCAATACCGCCCACAAAAATTACCGAATCCTTCTGAACTTCGTCTTCCGAATATTTCTTAAACCAGTCATTTCCGGAAAGTAGTCTTAACAAACAAAATAACTATCACAGTTGCAACCGAAACTCAGCATCCTTCCGCATTATTGCATAACCATGCCGGACCAGCGAAAAGATGCATTAGACATTGACATTTTGGATCTTAACTTCCAAAAATCAACTGTCAGTGAACACTCAAATTCTTGTCACTAGAATCTCAAAAGCCTCGGTTCATTCGATCCGAAATGGTGCCATTAGTCTTTATCTCTTGATTACGACAGATTTGCAATAAAAACTAAGTACATTCTATGGAATTCAGTTCTTACAATTTCAGACTTCTTAGAGATAAAATCCATCCCCCATAAAATTAGATCAGGTTAAACATTTAATGGATTAGTGAACAATTTCTAGTAGAAGATGAAGACAAAAATACCAACCCCCTCACACAAGGATTTAATATAGCATCAGGATGTTGGATGTAATGCAACAGTGGTGAAGCAACTTTATGCCAGATACCACTACAGGGTAAATCTCCACGAAGGAATTTATGATTACAAAGCCAACAAACTGTCCCGTTCAATTCACTCCCTGATTAGACATATCGGGAACTAAGCAATCAAAATGATCGAATAATTTAAATACCACAGTATACAATTTTAAACAGTGAAATCTGTAATCAACCATTCAGAAAAAAACTTAGGAAAACTTGACCAGGAAGCATATAGTAGTGTAAGAGCAAAGATGCTGAAATTCAGTAATTCATTCCTTGCCGTCCAAAAAGGAAATTTCATTGGACACAAAATGATTAAGACAAATGAAAAAGAATATATTATACACAACATATCCATATAATAAATTTTTAAAACAGAGAATTAGGAAAAATTTTATATGTTCAACAACAAATGATACAGCAAAAAACGATTTTTTGGAAAGTCAGAAAACAACTTCGACAAATTAAGTCGAATCCTGCAAAATGAATTCACATTTCATATGCCAACATAATAAAGAAACACGCGAGAAATGAAACTTTCTCACTCAGTGGAATATAAAAAAAAAATAATGAGACAAGATACAATGAGCAAACTTAGTCATCAAATACAAAAGGGTTTATATGCAACATCAAAAATCATCAACAACAATTTAGATAATTCTGAGAACAATGCTACAAATGAAAGAAATCGGTTACCCATTACAATAATATCATAACGCCTCTTTTTAAGTAAAGTATTAAATTTGAGAAGAAATCTAGGAATAAGTAAAATTCTTAAAAAGCACTACACGTTGCCTTTAATATTGCTGAAATCTCTTAATCATATTTTCCACTTTATCTAAACTCCCTGCTCAATACAATCTGAATCACATACAATCCATAATTAATAAATTAATCACGCGCGTAGTCTACAAAAAACATAAAAGAACCTCCAAAACCTCGTTTCACGAGTTCACGTTTGCACAAATGGAATTCAAAATATAAAATAAATCTAGGAAATACAAAGAAATAATACCAACATTCGTAAATGATGACTGATGACAATACCCACCCTTAAGCTCAATAAATAGTATACACACAAGAGAGATTACATGTACGGATCGAAGGTAATGAAATCACCGGCAACGACGGTAAACTGTCATTGCTCTGGACAATCAATGACTGAATCCGTGTTAATCGAAAATTTCAGTGCATACGGAAATTTCGATCTAAGAGAAAATTATCTCAGGATTTAATAGTTAAAAAAAAAGTGCATCAAGAATAAAAACCGGTTTACACTGGTAAAAATGTATCGGTCTCATTTCGAAAACCATTCGGAAACCATCACGTAACATCTCACATACTTCATTCTCGATTCGAGGAATCGAAATAAAGTTAAGATTGCGGAAGAAGGATATGTTCAACAGGAATGGACATATTAACTATGATACAAGTTGAAGCATATAACATGCAGATGTTGCAATTAATCCCATCTTGCTTATACCCGTATTAAATATATCATTCAGTCAATCATCACATTGGGTAAATCATTCATTAGAATGGTGAAAAAAAAAGAAAAGAAAAAAAAAAAAGAAAAGCATACTACAGCTGTACAGCTGCTTCCTACACAAACTTTACAGTGTTAACCTTAACAACCGAAAACATAATACACGTTACAAAGCACGTTATATAAAGAGAGATAAGAATGTATCGTTTTTTTCAACAGCTGCTCCCTCTCTCCACTGAATGGATTAATTTCTAGAAACCTGATTATCCCTGGGGAGTGAAAAGTTAAAATATACAAGAATATGCCACTACAGTACTATTTCAGTGGTCAGAAAGTGTGCGATTCCGAAGCGAAAGATGACATATGGATACTACCGGGATTAGTTGATGAGGATGAAACAGTCCTAGATAGAGATGTTCGATAACTATCATTGTAATGGGTTGAATTTGAGCATTTTGCTAGTACCGGTACTGGAACAACAGTAACTGTACGTCGATTACCACTACGAATGCTAGCAAAAGAGGCATTACGCAGCTGTGATGTTTGAACAGTGATACCACGCGGTACATTTGGACGATTCTCCATTGACAATGCGAACGACGAACAATCTCTTACCATCCCATTATTCAGTAAATGTGAACCAACATAATCAGCTGGAATTTCGTGGCAAAACTATTACCACAATATGAGGTATTATATATGACGGGGAAAGAAAAAAGCTTTACACAAATTACATTACTTTGACAGACAGTAAAAGTCTTTCGGTGATTTGAGAAAGCCATGTCGCATCAGCAAGCAAATTCCTAAAAACACGTTATCTAGCAATTGAAAAGCAATGGAAAACAAAGCATGACAGAGAGAAAGAAATGTTTCAAAATAGCATCGGTTCAGTTTTTTGTCACAATAAATGATCACTGTGACAGTCTAACCGACTATTTATTACAGTGTTCTTTGGTTTATAATGCTGCATATCGAAAGCAGCAATGCATACAATGCAGACTGCCCAACGATCCCGTTTTGCCCACCATTAGCAAGTTTGAGTGTTAGAAAAACGGTTACTTTTACATTTATAAAATTATTAAAATGAAAATTTTTATGAACCGATGCGATATATTTAATTTAAATAAGCTTTTCTTGTTACATTATGCCGGTGAAAACAGTGCAGTTAATCATAATTCACTTCTCGTTTAAAAATGAAAATTAGTTAATGGACGTTAAGAAATAAGGAGAAAAAGAAGACCAACCTCCAAAGCGACTCTCCATATCATCTGTCGGTGGTGCTACTTTTGTCTTACGTATTTGCCGTGAAGCAGTGTTCTGCTGAATCTGATACGAAGAGCAATTTGAACGGTGCTTGCTTCTACTTGCAGCGTTCGCTCCCCGTTGTATATTACCCGGAGCAGCGTAGCTGCAAGCTGAAAAGAAGTATGGTAACCATGTCTTCATTGTTCCTCCCAATTTTTAACGAACTCGCGGTGCTCCCTCCCTATTAAACCTTGCTGCACTATGGCAGTAAAGTCGACATGCCTAATTTTTATGCACAGTTCGGTAAGGGTATCGTCAAATTACTTACTACCTTGATAATATCGTAATTATTATTGAAATTGTTCATTGGTACTCAATAAGATTTTGATTTCACACATACCTTGATACACCCGATCTTTGGAATTAATACGTACTACATCTGCGACAGAAGTGGCAGAATAATTACTTCTTTCATTTTTCAGTTCCGGATGAAAAACTAATTTTTCAGTTCCAGATGAAGAATGATGATGACCAAGTCGTCGATGTGTTGGTACCTTCACCGTTCGCGCACCTTCCACTACAAAATAATGAGATAATTGCGACAGTAAATTCTAGAAACAAGCAATTTTTATCTCATGAGTAACATTCTCTATTTTCTCAAAAACTAGAGTTGGTTTGTATAAAGTGCGGAAGCATATACCATTTGTTGCAGTTAAAGGCCGAACTCTGTTCAAAGTTGGTTGCACCTTTTGTATGGCTACCTGCCTTACCGTTGGTTCGATCCGTGAGTGATGCTCTACATGCCGCACTTCCGTACAGCCGAAATTCATCTCTCTTTCACGATCTTTCCTTTGCCTCTGTAGCAAATCAATTCCTCATTTCATTACAACTGAATTTAAAAGGTAAAAGAATTCGAAAAGAAAAATGAACAAACTTTAGTTATGAAATTTCCTTCACTTTCTAAATAGGTTGGTGGAAAAGCAAACTGAGTGTTCAAAACTAACGTTTATTCATTTTTCTTTTTAAACGCTAATGAATTTATTCAATTTCTTGAACAAGTTATGTGTTAAGATGAATGAACTAACGTTATATATATGATCGAGATCAGCAGAATGCGATGATTTCGACGGTATGTACACATAACGATATTCTGGACGTATCACGGTCCTACCATGAATTGGTACGCACACTTCATGCGGTGTTACTTGCGGCGTAGCAGGTTGCTGCGTCGTATCCACATGAGAACGAACGGTGCGAATAACCCGTGGCGCGAATCCTTTCCTCCGTGTTACATGAGGGACATAATTCGAATTCCTGAAGGAAGATATGCTTTAAGTGTTAGCAAAGTAGGAACTGATCATCAGAAACAGTTTTATTCCTTCTTTTCCAGCAACACTCAGAACCACAAAAAGTGAAGGTGAAAAACAAAAGAAGGACTTTAAATGTATAAGGTTATGCACACTTATTTAGATCATTATCGTAGGTGATTGGTGCAAGATGTTACTTTCTCTGTCTTCATTTATTACCATTAAAAACTTTGAAAAGGTACCGAGTTCCAGGAAGATTGACTGATGTCATTGGGCTGTAGTCGTAAGAACGTTCAGAGATTGCTTCATTAGCAATTTTCATAGCCGAATTTCTTGCTAAAGATAGTCGGCTACGTTCAGACCGTACATTATAATCGATCTGATCGAAATGTTGCTGCGACTCTGTAAGTGGATAAGACTGCGATACATCGTTAACAGAAAGGAAAAGTTAATGTAAAAATATACGAAAAACGTCAATGTGAAAATACATAAGGGAAACACATCATGACAAAAAAAAAAAAAAAAATAGATTAAAGGAATAAGCCTACCTTGGTTAACAACCGCTAGCTGTATCGGATCGCGAATCTCCCTCTGCATCCCCTCTACCATATTACTGTGAAAACTTGGTAGCTGAGGTAATCTTTCTACATCATCCGGTAAATCGTGCACTCTGTAAGCACCAAATGTTGACAGCAAAATATTACAGAGATGTTAATGAACAAAACAAGAAAGCATTTCAGGATGAACCTCAGAATTTAGCCAATAATGAATTTTGAAAACGAACCCATGATTTTGCTCCGCCGAGAAAATATCGGGAGGTGAAGATCTTGTTTGTGGTGGATAATCTACAGTTGTTTTTCCATTAATTGGTACCGTCAGTAACCTCGCATTTGGATAATAAATTTTCTGTTCCGGGTCGATATAGACATCTCGATATGAAACACCGCTAAAATATTGAAACATCATGAAACAACAGAAATATTAGTTTTGGTACAAGATTTCATCCTGAAACCAGCAACCTGGTAAGCATACCTAGTACAAAATTCTTCCATTGGTGGTGATGAACATGTCCGACTGCTCCTTTTCTGTGGTACGAAAGCGACCTAAAAAGAGATTTGCTGCACCACAATTTCCTTCTACAACCTTTTCCTTTGACCCAGAGCGATTAATATCGATCCTACTTCATTTGGAAATAACAAGGAAATTAAGGATGGTTTTCGATGTAAGATTTCCATTTTGCATTGCTAAACACATTGCATTAAAGCACAATCTACTAAGTACAGTAATTACACTCTTACTCGGAAGAGTTAAAAAGAAACCGAAACAAGTTGTGGATAACGAGGCTGTTGATGAGGCAAGCATATCTTTTGCTCCACTGCAGTATGTGTTCTGTGACCGAATTCATTTCCCATGTAACCTTCTTCATCATGTGGTAAACGTCGACTTCTTGCATCTTCCGAAACCTCTCCTCGTGGATAACCATAGAAACAACTAGAAAGAAAATCAATTCTGCGGAAATCTTAAACCAGTAAAAACAGATCCATGTACACCTAACAGTACCGTATAACTAAAGTCCCCATAGATTAACATAGAAACAATTTGCGACACTAATACATTAGGATTTCGAAAACGGTCACTAGATTTTCAAAAAATCTGGATGAAACAGAACATACGGTCCGGTCGCAACAATCCTTTCCTCAATCGGGTAGCGGGTTGCAACATTGCCACGACCTGCATTTGCATCCTCCTCACCTTGGTCTAAAACCACACAGCGATGACGAACAGCGCTATAATCACTTGAACCTAGATCATTGTTTGGATGTAGAGATGATGGCCGTGACAAATCGACCACTTCTTGGTACCCGTTAGGAATAAGTCTTTCATGAGGTTGCAACAATATATTTTCCTCCATATGATGGCCATGATAAATCTCGTCTTGTGCAGTGGCTATAGGTGCTATTACGGGGTCCATGTAGCACTCTTTCTCTGCTACCGGAGATAGTTGGGGAGGTGATGGTACATAAAATCTATGCGGATCGGAATCCTCACAAAGATGACTCTCATTACTCGAATCCTCCAGTGACAATATCGCATTTGGTGTCCAAATCTGTTGTGTTTCGCCCTTTTCTGATCTGAAATGAGATGAATTACCGGTTATAATGGTCTTCAAGGCAAAAAATTAACGGTAGTTAGATATCACACCTAAATGGAATCTGGACGAAAAAACATGAAACAAAAAAATTCTTTCTTATATTTCCAAAGTAGAGCTGCCTCTTGGAAATAAAATCATATTAAAACTATCATTTCTTGTCAGCAATTCTTCTGAAAAGACGCGTTAAATATCAGGGGCAGAACGATACACCACGAAACACACTTGTTTATGTCTGAGTTAAATCCAAGACAGCGGATGACTCACTTGAGAGTTGGGCATGTTGCCACATCGTGAGATAAATCTGCATAATATGCATCTAAATCTACTTCATTCCACTGTCCAGTACAGTTTACCATCATTTCCGCTTGCTGTTTTGCATCAAATGCTTCTTCCTGTTCTTTTGACAACCTTTCTATATTGTCGATTGGTCTCAACGTAATTTCCGGCTGCACTTTTTTATCCGTCGGCGACAAAATAGACATAGAAGCTGGTTCTGCAAGTGCTTCTGCAGGAACTGCATTAGTCTCAGTTGAAGCTTTCGTGCTTTGAGAAGCTGTTGCAACATCATTATCAATATGACTATCACCCGTATTATCATGCCTAATAAGAACATTACTCGATGCTGACTCATTCGCTTCTCCAACACTTTGTTCTGAAAATACAGTTCCACTTAATGGTACAGATTTCAAAAGCATTAAAAAAGTTAAGGACAAAACGATGAACCCATTTAAATAACAGGTGCTTTTTTGAACTAACAGAACGTGAATCGAAATCAAGTTACATCCACTTCGGTATGCATTATAAAGATAATACCTTTTTTAGACAAGCGTTTTTTCTGTCGAAAATGTTCTAAAGAGAAGTTGTCTTCATCAGATGAATCTCGCCTTCGTTTCTTTCCCTTCTTGTCTTTCATTTTGCCATTTAATCGCCGATTAATTTTAGCACTTATCCGTCCTTCTTCTTTGGTGCCATTAGACAGAGCTGAATTATTCTGTCCACTTGCTTCACTTGATACCTGTGAATACATATATTAGATTTTGTGATAAAAGATAAAAATAACCTATATGAAACTGACCCTCCGCAAACTCCAAGAAGGGAAAAAAAACATTTCGTCCTTCTCACTAAAAAGAACTTCAGAGAGCTAAAACGTATCATCCAGCAAGAGAAAGCTACATAAACCCTAAATTAACATCGAATTTGATTTTTGTTTTGCTGAGGCTTGGCATTCCGCAAATTATAGATTTACTTGGAAAACTTACTTCATGTCTGGATACTCGCAATGAAAGCTTGAGATCGTCTTTCTGTTCCACGGAGTACCTTGTTGAGGTAGCCTGAGATATAATACTTCCATTTCGACCTGAGCTATCCCTGAAAATCATCAGCGAAGCAATAGCTGAATTGGGAAGAAAAATATAGTTGAAAAAGTTAATTCAAACATCATCATTTGATATAAAAATTAAAATCACATTCAGCGAAATATTATGTTCAGCGCTTAATTTTATAATTGAAACAAACTTAGGTGATGCGATCGATGTGGATAATCGCCGATACGGTGGCGAGAGAATGGGCATTTCCAGACGTGGGGAAACGACACGATGAGGAGGAGAAAGCAGAAATGACTGACATTCGTCGCCAGAGCCTGAATTCATCTGATAACCATGCTGGGAACGCATATGATGCCCATAGCCAACATCCTTCAAAATTAACCCACACTTCTGCAAAGAAACTTCACTTTAGAAAACGTCTTTATTTTTGTTGAAAAAAAAAAGCAAAACGTACAACCGTATGCACATATGCACAACTCGCACAGTTAAGGAATTAACCTTGCAATTGATTAGCAGCATGGATTCGAGTTCAATGCTAGGATAAAAACCGTAACAAACTGCTTCTGAAAAAGGAATTACATCAAAAAAAAAAAACTAGATTTAACATTATGGCAAAAACAGTGCAGAAGATATATAGATCACTCCTTTGAACCTTCTCAATGTCAAAGCAAACATATTTTACGGTAAACATTTCCTCATCCTCTAGTAATATTTTACCCACATTATAATGTGAAACGGCTCTCATAACCACAGAAACTTTATTCCGTGATTATATCCAGTTCCATACTACGATACTAATATCGAACTTTCGAACGAACAAGACTTACAAAGCCAGTAATTCGTTTGTTGACAACTCAAGTAAGACCACATTAACCAACTTATATTCAGCAGTGTTTTTTGGCCTAGCATGGAATTTTGAATATCCCTTCCGGTAGCGACGAAATCAACTGTAAAGTTTGTCCCGAATGAAATAAAATTCACAGGATTGAAATTAAATCAACTTACTCTGTGACGGCATTGCAGCAGCATCGTAATTTGTACCAGAAGCAGCCGCCAGACCACGTGTTTGCGTTACACGTTGCCACGTTTCCCAATCGAGTCCCACCAAAGTAGTATCGCTTTCCTCTATCGACATAACTGTTCACAGAAGAATAACTAGTAGCAACGAATAATTTAAAAGCAAAATTTGAATAAAATTCCAGTGTATCCACAGATTCCTTTATCACAAGCATCTCGTATAAACAATCACCATTATACACAATATAAAAATAATCATGTTGCAGCACGATGCCCCCACCAATGCTGGAGGTCAAGCTGAAAGGAAAAAGCATATTAGTATAAAGACAAAATTTCAGACGTAACATATGACTTCAACAATAACATTCATCATAAATATAGTGATAATGACACAGCATATTCGATTCAGTGGTACATATAAGGAAACGTGGAAAACAAGCGGAACATGTGAATAAATATACTTAATTAAATATCAATACTGGATTATTAACAGCGTAAGAAAAGAATAAAATAATTTCACGTGGTAATTTTCTATTCTACATCACTATCACCATCATCTCATGGTTCCTCAAACTATCCTCTTTTACGGATTTAGCAATTCGTTTATTCCAATTATCACCGGACTCTTCACATTCAAAACAAAAACGAAAGGTCAGGGAAAAGGGTAACCTGCAATCATCTGCTAGACGTTTACACGTAACGTAGATGCTAGAATAGTAACACCTTGCGCAACAAATTCATTCCAGAACTTTTTCAGTTGGCCCTGCCTGCGTGGCATTCCGTTACTTCATGCGGTTTATCCGTACAAAGGAAAAGGAGAGGGGAGAGAAAGAGAGAAGAGAGAGATAAGTGGGAGAGAAGAGAGGGATTACGCCACCCACTCTAGCCAATCTCTGCAAGAAAGCCGTGAATGGGTCAGTTTAACGGTCTTTTTTAGAAAACTTCGATGATAAAGGAAGTGCAAATTCGGTGGTCTTTTTTTTTTTCCAGCAGCATTCATATGCTCGTTTGCACTGCATTCTTCTCCCCCCCCCTCCCTCCTCCTCCTGT